AAAACCCACAGCACTTGGTATCTCAGAAAACAGTCCTATCTCTGTACTCATGGCAGTAGAGTTACCTTTGAATCCTAATTTTCTTGCAAAAGATAGATAGTTTACTCCAACTAAGCGTTGTGGAGAAGCAAAAGACATAATGGTGTTCCTTTCTCTCTGGTGCTTAGTGCACAAGTGCCATGTATGTCCCCAGGACTGGGAAGTGGATTTACTGATTGCATCCTAACACATTGGGAGAAACACTTTGTGCAATGTTAGTTTGGTATTTTACTTCTTCCAAAAGAGCAGAGAGCAGAAAGAGAAACACATTATGACTCTCAGAGATTATCTGTGACCTGTCTTTAAGTGGTATTCACATGGACAAATCATATCCATGACTGGGTAAACCAAGACATTCTTACACTGTATGGTTCTTAAAGTATTTGCTCTGTTTCTCATTTACATCTGCATAACACCTAGGAGTAAAAGTTCCAAAACTAATGAAGTTATAGTGTGTGATATTGGTGCAAATGAAATCAGAAGCCAAATTCCTGACCTTGTAGAAGCAGCAATATCAAAGATGACTTAGAAAGGCAATAAGGAGCTGCAGTGCAAATTGAAAAGGAAATCATTCCCTGGCCTAAGTCTTAGGTATTGATGGCAAATCAATACCTTGCAATGTGAATTGTTATAGCCCCCCAGCATCAACTGAGTCTCTCATAAAAGTATATTTTATTCCTAATCTTTTGAGAGCTGTTCACGATGCTACATCTCAATCAGACCCATTTTTCTAGTTATTCCTCATGCAAAATAAAAACAGGAGGAAAAAAAAATTATTTGCTGCTCTTTCTGAGTGTAGCAGAATCTGTTAGCTCCTTTTCACTTTTACTGCTTCAAACGTTTCACAACAAAAGCAAACCTGCAAACTCCACTTCCAATGACCTTATGTCTCTTTTGTTCTTTTAAATACATTTTTTTCTCATTACATATCATTCATTAATGGTAGAATGCTTCTTACTCAGAGAGCAAGAATTTAAAGGAATGGGCAAGACTACAAAGCACATAGATTAACTTTTTTTATAGACGTAGTTTTTCTTAGACACAGGCAGAAGTACATCAATATCAGCGTAACACGTTGATGAAAATCAAAATATAAAATACTTTGATTTGTCATCATATTCCAAATCTAGCCTCAAGACTTGCCTAAAGGTTGCACTACTGAGAGACTCAATACAACTCATTTTAACAAAAATCCTGGAACAGAAAAAAACCCCTTTCCTCCGGCCGTGTTGCCCACAATACACAAGGGGAGATTGAACAGAACACCAGGGGAAAACAGTGCCACTGGGACTCAGGTTGGTGATGTTCACTGCAATCACACATTTTGGAAAGCTCTGTGGTGAAATGGTGGCAGGAACAGAGCTAGACATTAAGCACAACTGAATTCAGTAATTTTCTGGATTGCTTGCTTCAGAAATGCTTCCTAACGCACACGAGCGAACCCTTATTAATGACTTCTATGCATCACAGAACACAGGAGAAAGCAATTGAAAAATGGTAATATCTCAAAGAAAAAAAAAAAAGGCAGAACAGGCATATTAAAAAGAAACAAAATAAAAGAACTTTGTATTGTCAGAGCCACAGGTCTAAGTACTCCAAACAAAAAAAAACATTGAGGCTCTGTTTTATACTCTTCAGTTGAACCTGCAAAGTGTCATTGGAGATTTTTTAGTGAAACATCACAGTGTACTGGGAAGAGACAATGAGGCTTTTGCAGCAAATTCATACTTGGCCTGTTTCACTTATTTTCCCTGTGCCCTAACTGAGCCTAACAGTTTACTGGCACTCATTCATCAGGATTTATACCAAGTAAAATCAAGATGCCCTGGGTTCATAGACTTTGAAGGCAGTTTCTGTTCATAGTTATTGATATCATCAAGAAATGAAACTTAACACTGGAAAGACCAAGGGGATGGACAAGAACCACAGCCATAAGCTGTAAGGTACGGCCTTGCACACTGCGCAGTTCCTGAAAGAGGAAAGGAAATAGGGAATAATCTCCCTCCGTTTCAGCTTCCTCTTATTCTTCTTTGCCTCCATTTCTGCCAACACATACTCATTCTTAGCTGATGAAATGAGGACAGAATAGTGATTTTTTATTCCTCTTGTAACTTCTGTGGTTGACTTCAAATTCAACTGTAACTGCCCTGTGTTTCAAACAATTCTACGCCACACAGACTTGCAACATCTCACTTTTCTTCTTAGGTAATATGTCAATGAGTGCATTGTACTATATAAATACTCAAAAGAATGACAACTCAACCTCGACTTTTCTTAAACGTCCCTTTTGCTGGAAAAATTAGCACTTTTTTGTTCCAGGAAAAAATACTTTATACATTAATAATGAAACACCATTGCATGTCTCCCCCTAAACATGCATATATTACCATTCACTTCAGTCAAACTCAGACTGATACAGCCTTATCTGAGAGGAAAGTGATACTTTAAATTTTTAGGTAATTTTTGCTATTTATGAAAAACAGCTGCAAACCTGAATGATTAAGAAGGTAGTGTGCTTTACTCTCTGTCATTCCAGTGACTTGTTACTTCACAAATTAAATCAAACACTAATGGCCATCTAAAACAATCTTTTCCTTGTCTAGTTTAACTATTTGCTTCAGAAATTTCTGCTTTCATTATGATGATGACTTAATATTTAATCATTAATTTCCTGACAGAAACAGCAAGAAGATAATTTTATGCTGATTTCACTGTTTTTAAAGACAGTGTTTTGTTTTAAACAAAACAGTAACCTTGCAGGAAAAGATGTGATTTTCTGGGGGTGATTTGGCATTTTTCATTTAAGAACTTAAAAAAAAAAAAAGTTAGAAGGTTTAATGTAAGAATCAAATTGCCTGAAATTGTGACAAAAATTTTTTAGTTGAGGATTTTCTTTGGGTCATACTGTAAATAGTTATTTTGGGATTTCTGTTTCCCTGAAGAAAACCTGAAATATTACATTTGGATTAAACCAAAACTTAATTCATTTTGTGTTCATTTTTGAGTGCAGCAGTTGAAATCGAAAAGCTATTATTTGTACAGCCTGTGAAGGTTTATTAGCTTTAGGAGACCTTTATGTAGACTCTTGAAGCACTGCTTGCCTTGCCCTTCGATATAACACAGAAAACTGGCCAATAATAATTTGGATGTCAGAAAAAAGACAAACAACTTTCTTTTGAAAATGTTGTTAACACAATTTAGTATGCCATACTGGCAACCTGAACTCTTACTGTGATTTCTAGTAGCTCGGGGCATGAGCGACATGGTGTTCAACCAGATTAAGCTACATTTATTGCTGGAAAGCTCCACTGTTTCAGTTCTTAAGCACGGTACAGATGAAATGTTCAGTATAAATATGGATTTGCCTGGTTACACTTTGAAAATTTGGATACAAAAATCAGGCCTCTAATCCTTCTATTTAGTACCTATGATATTCCAATGATAAATAATTTTAGGAATAATTTCACATGCACAGCTGGTACTGCAGGAGGTGATTCACATGCACAGCCCAGCCCATCTCTAGTTTAAAGCCCTCTTCACCAGCTTGGCAAGCCTATGACCGAAGATGCTCTTCCCCTTCTCTGACAGATGGACCCCGTCAGCCCCCAGTAGACCAGGTTTCTCAAAGCAAATCCCATGGTCTAAGTAGCCGAACCCCTGGCTGGGGCACCAGTCCCGTAACCATTTGCTGACTCACCAGATTCGACTGGCCCTTTCAAATTATGTTGTTGTATGTGCGGACAGATGCCCCTTTTGTATCTTTAAGTGATGATCGGTATATGTATCAGTAATAATAAGCATTCTCATAAGCAAAATGTTGTACAGTGCAGTCCCAGCCAGCAGGAAAGCTCGTAAACTGGTGCCAGATACTAAATGAAAAATTGCTTTATGCTTCCCACAGGAAGATGTAATATGAATTAAGGACAGCGCCATGATGTTTATATGTAAAATGATTTAATTACGTTAGCTGAAATTTTATAAAAATATCAACCTAAGACATGTAGGTATGGGAAATTTCAGCTCTCTTTTTTTTTTTTTTTCCTGGTAAAACTACAAACAGTAGGAAACAGCACCTTGTACAGAAAACGAAAGGAAGTGTTGCTAGCAATCCCTATTATTCCTCAGTATTCACAGTACAAATGAACAAGAGACCTCCCGGCACAGGACTATTATGTCTGGTTTCATTTTACCTACAAAAAGAAAATCTGTTGTGTAAACTTGTGACATATTGTACTGAAAATGGTAGCTGGGCTAGTATTTAACATAGCCAAAGAGGGAAAGATAGGAGTGAAAATTTTACATGGCTCGCAACTTTTCTTCTTGTGTTTCAAGCACAAAACAGAGCTCCTCTTCATTTCTGCTTAATGGAAACTATGGAAGCCAACAGATGTTACGATGCCTGCAGAAAATAACAAATGATAATCACCAGCCAAGGAAATTGTTAGCCTCTGAAATTAAACAGGATACTGCAGTTGCTCATTTCCTATAACCTAGTGTTTACTCAAATCACATCTAATAATTGGGGACAAGGAATATACTTGCAGACCACAACAGAAAAAGACACCAGGGTCAATAAAGGCCAAATGAGGTGTCCAAATAAAACACCCTGTAACCTTATTCCATGATTACGTGTACAGAAAAAAGTAGCATTTTAGATAGCCAAATATAAGTAAGCAAATACATTTCTTGGAAGAATCAATACAAATAAAGTTAGAGAAGATTTTCATGTTATTTTCCTTAGGAAAAGGAGGATCTCCAGCCAAGGGGAAAAAAAAAAGAAAATAAACAGAAATTTAGGAAAGTCAGATTAAAAGGAAAATTATATAAAGGCATATTTGTCTTTGTTTTGACTTACTTTAATAATCAAATGCAAGAAAATTATTAATGGATGTTGAAATGCTAGTCTAAATAAAATAGGCTAATGTATATTATAAAATAGCATTATTACTTCCTTCTTTCAGGTGGTAAAAATGATGATTGTGGTTGTGCTGACATTTGCCATCTGCTGGCTGCCCTACCACATTTACTTCATAGTTACTGGGATCTATCAACAATTAAATCGGTGGAAATACATTCAGCAAATCTATTTAGCCAGCTTTTGGCTTGCCATGAGCTCTACAATGTACAACCCCATTATCTACTGCTGTCTTAATAAGAGGTAAGAGCTGGTTATGAAACAGTTGGTATGCATAACTTCAATGAGAATATAAATGGTTTGAATGGGATAAAAGACAAAGAATTTTCACTTGAATAGTTTTCAGTTAGCAGGAAACAAAACAAAACAAAAAACTTTCTTTAGGTTTGTACTTGAAATGAATCCCAAAAAAAACAAATGCGCACTTCCAATAAATACTTTGGTCTACTTAAAATTTCAGAGCAAAATTCAGTATTCAGAAACCAAACCTTCCCGTTTCCATATACAAAATTTAAAATCTATAGCAGTTTAATATTTTTTGGCTTGCAAAACATTAAAATAAAGAAGTAAAGACAGTCATTAGTGATATACAGTGTAATCTGTGTGTTCACTAACTAACTGTAGCCACAAATTTGTTTTGCAGTGCTGGAAGGATATAATATAAAATGTGATTTACTGTGTATTTTATACCTCACCATTAGATTTCTACTGAGCTCTGAGGTCTGTAGCAGGCTAACAAATATTTATATTCTCATTACTCAATAGCAAATTACAGTACTGTTTGATAGCAACGCATTATGCTCTGAATTTCAAAAGCATTGCACTTGTTGAGTTTGGTGAGATTTTACGGATATTTGGCAGTTTGAGACTACTGGATTGCAGAATGAAATCATGTTTTTCATTTCAGCTTGTAGGACCAGGGTCTAAACAAACATCATCCTGACCATCCTATTTTTCAGTATTTCTTCTAGTATTACTGGATAAAGACCACCAAGAACAATGAATTAGTTCACAAACTCAGTCAGTATGAATCGGTATTGAATAAGTAGTCTTAAATATTATTTGAAATCTCTTTTGAATGAGCCGCCAGTGACAAGTTTAAGTGCTGACGAGTTTTGTGCTAATTTTGTTAAATATTTATAAAACCCCAGTAAAGATCATGCAATACATGTCAAAAGGAGTCTAATCAAAAATGAAGTGACCAAATCCTGGTGAGTTTATTGGTGTAAAAACACTGGAGTCTGCCTCCTTGATGGGAATAGCTTATGATGCTTAATATTCATAGTCTTTTAAAATGTCAAGGTAATGCCTGATTTCATACAGCCTCCTGCGCCTTTTGATCATTTACAACTGTTTAAAGAAGAGGTAAAGTTTTAGTATGACAGAATGAAATCCTAACTCAAATGGCAAATTTCCCATTAATTTCAACAGAAACCAGATTTCACTGGCTGTCCGGTGTCTGTAAAATCAAAAGCAAGGAAGAACCAGGCCTCATATTTTCTCAATTACAATCATAAACTCTCTAAAACATTGCCAATTTCTTCAAAAACTTTTTATGGCAGAGTTACAACAGACGTTATTCATAGAAAATTAATATCTCTGATGTGGCTTATGTTGACACTTGTACACTGCAAAATTAAACATCTGGATTAAAGAATACAAGTCAACAAAAATTTCATAATTTTGAGACACACTAAAGGTCACCTTGTTCAGAATTTAATGCAAGACTGAAATATTGGTCAAAGTTTTCTTATAATTATGTTCCATATTGAAATCAAGAAGCCTGAACATCTGCTTCCTTTTCATGCATTAGTAAAATACAGCCTGTTGCTGGGAGTCAGATCAATTCATCTGGTACTATTATCTCTGCTGGATCTAGTATCGGACAGAGTTACACCACCTACCCCAGCCTCATCTTCCAGGCTAATTAGGATATTACTTACATATATAGATAAAGACAGCATTAGTTCAACCATGCCCTGAATGAGAAAGGGGATAGAAGGTGAGATAAAAAATAATACAGCCTAAAGATGTTTGGGTTTTACAGCTTCCTTCACTAAATCCATTTCCATCAGAGGTTCTTTCTGTATTTTTCACAATGTTGACTGCATCTAAACAGAGGAATGCTGAATAGCAAGTTACCTGCTCATTTGTCATCATGTGACAGCTCTGAGGGAAACTTAAAAGATTGAGGAGGAAAGAAAGTTATTTCTGTGAGATCAGTCAACTTTCACTGAAAAAGTAATCTAAAATTGTATCTATAGTCATCACTATGGCAGCTGAACCATTGCTCCAAAAAGCTTACAGACACAATAAACAACACAGCTGATTGTTGAAACAAAAACAAGAGAAACAAGACAAGTGAGAAAGTCTGATAAGTTTTAGGTCTAGGTGAAAAGGTGTTCTTTTTCAGGTTACACATAAATATAAAACAAATTGTTTTTCTAATATATTTAACTTCTATTCTGGAAGTGCATCCATACAAAAAGTAATAATAGTCTTTATAGTAAATCTCTGCCTCTGAATTGAAATAAAAAGTAACCCTGTATGAATATTGCAAGCACTAATGTGCTAAAGCCTCAAAATTCCTGTTTATGCATTGTTCACATTCAGTGTTTAAATTTCTAGGATCTTCTTTAATTATTACAAATGATTTTCCAAATATTTTATATGAGCAATTATTCATCATTACATCACTCCCATTTAAGCACCTCTGTTAGAGAGGGAAACACAGAAGGGATATTGGAATCTGGAAGCTGGGATGGTATTTTAGAGAAAAGAATGCTACCAAGTTTCTTACTGAGAGAAGACGAAAATATAGGTGCAGATTTCATCATAGGTCAAATCAAAACAGTTTCTGTGAAGACAGCGCTATGAAAGCTGGTGTTTGTTTATTTAGGCATGGGCAAAGGAAGGGAAATTGAGTATCAGGAAAATACCAATGTTAAAATGCAGGGAAAATATATAGAAAATCAGAAACAGAAATGAGCTGTTACCACTGTCTTTTTTACCCTACTCAGACTTTAGTCAAGTAAACTCCTACTAACTTCACCACAAACAGGATTAGGGGGGAGGTAACTAGCCGAGTCAGTGTCCCATCAGCATGGTAGATGTTTTCAGATGAAGGCCTGTGGCTGGCTCTCACAAGCACAGGCTTTCACCAAGCATCCTTCCTCCCAGGTTCCGAGCTGGCTTCAAGCGAGCTTTCCGCTGGTGTCCCTTCATTGAGGTGTCCAGCTATGATGAGCTAGAGCTCAAGGCAGCCAGGTTTCATCCCACCCGGCAAAGTAGCCTATACGCTGTGTCCAGAATGGAGTCCAGCATGACAGTGGTGTTCGACACTAATGATGGAGACAACACCCACGCCAGCCGTAAGAAAAGAGCAGCTCCGAGGGACACGGGTTTCAATGGCTGTTCACAGAGGAATTCCAAGACCGTCTCCACAACCTCAAGTCTCACCAGTTCACTGCACACATCAGTAAGGGATTATTCCTAAGCATTTCATGGTGGCAGTTGCCAGAAGGGCAGCACTGGACAATGCTCTCCTACTTTGGGACTAGATATTCATACCACAGGAAAGCAAACATAATTCCACTGACGAACCATAGCTATAAATATTGTGAAACTTTTAGGCATCGCTTACTTTTCTGCTTTGGAGAGAAAGAGGAATTTGAAGACATATGTATGCATCAGGCCGAAAGCACAGTCGCACCTTATACACGGTAATGTTTGTAGGGATTATCTAAAATAAGCCAATGGCAAGAAAAACATTGTTTCAGATGTATTTGACCTGTGGCATTTATGTTTCACCTACTGAAACAGGCTCCTTGTCCTGGTTTCAGCTGGAATAGAGTTAATTTTCGTCCTAGTAGCTGGCATAGTGCTGTGTTTTGGATTTAGCATGAGAATAATGTGATAGCACACCAATGTTTCAGTTGTTGCTAAGGAGTGTTTATACTAAGTCAAGGACTCTTCAGCTTCTCATGCTCTGCCAGCGAAGAGGTGCACAAGAAGCTGGGAGGGAGCACAGCCGGGACAGCTGACCCGAACTGGCCAAAGGGATATTCCATACCATATGATGTCATGCCCAGCATATAAGCTGAGAGGAGTTGGCTGGGGGGCAGCAACTGCTGCTCGGGGACTGGCTAGGCATCGGTCGGTGGGTGGTGAGCGGTTGCATCACCTGTGGGGTTTTTTTTCTTCCCCCTGGGCTTTTGTTTCTCTCTCTCTGTCTCTTTTCTTGTTTTACTTTCCATTACTATTACTATTACTATTATTATTATTATTTCAAGTATTAAACTGTTCTTATCTCAACCCACGAGTTTTCTTACTTTTGCTCTTCTGATTCTCTCCCCCATCCCACTGGGGAGATGCCAACTGGGATGCCAACTAGTTGCCAATTGGGGTTAAACCACGACACTCCTTTACTTATTGAAGCTGAAATGTATGATGTTTTCTATTATGAGTGTATTAATTCTACAATAACAAAATTACATAAAATCTGATTAAAAAAATTTCTTCATAATGAAGACCTAATGAGCCCCAAGTCTATTCAATTGTTTTACAATTTTTACCTATTCCCAGGCAAATAGACAAAATGAAGTTCACGTGAATGAAGTTCAGCTCTGTCTGCAACAGTACAATTTTTCAAATATATATGAAAACAATTTTTTTAAAAAGGAGAACATCTCTAAAAGACTAAGTTAAATTCTACTGAAGTTTCTATATTAGTGAACATTAGATGCCAATGGAATGTATACTTCCAGCAGGAGGTATTGCTTAGATGAATGTCCTATAGCTTTGTATCTTAGTGCTAAGGGTAAGATCTTCCTCCAGTGACCCTAACAGGAGCTTTGTGATTGACTTTAGAAAGGTCAAAAGATTTTAAACTGGAGATTCACATATAAGAAAAATACCACTGTGGCTATGAACTCTTCTCTGCAGAAGATACAGTAACATGTTTCACTATGAAACACCTTCACCAGGAAAAAAAATATTTGGGCTATTTTCCCAAATTTTCCATAGCTAGATGCATGTAGCTATGTAGCACCCACTCCTCTGTTTGCATCTGAAAAAATGTCAGGCATTATTACACAGCCTCTTTCCCACCCAATTCAGTCAAAATCCACTGACCATCACTGTTGCAAAGAAAGCTGAACTTAATACAAAAGGGACCAGAGGGCAGCCTTTGTTTTAGATAAATGGCTGTATCAGTTGCATGGATCAACTGGTCCGTGAATGTTTGTTCTCAAACAGTTAATCAAAACTTAAGCAAGAGAGTGTGAATGTCTTCCTGAGTTAGTCAGACCAGCACAGGGGAGTGTATACGTGGCTCAACCCAACACAGTACCAAAGCTGAGCAGTTAACAAAGAGAAGTTTGAAGAGAGAAAGGCTTGAGCTGCTTTAGTCCACATTCCTTCCGAGCAACTGGGGACGCCCAGCATTGTGACACTGAGCATATCATAAAAGACTAGTAATGAGAATCATGTTTGTATTGTGAGTCATCTGTATAGTTAATTGCTATATTCTGCTACGTGTAATTTGTATTTGTATTGTGATTTTAGTGTATTGCTGTATCACTCTGCTAAATCAAAATCCTGCATAAGGTCAAATATCCTCAAATAAGTAAATCTGGTATTTAACATTAAACCCTCCATGTGTGGAATAACTGAAGAACCTGGTCACAGAGTATTGTACTCTGATAAAAATGTATTACCATTCCAGACTCACACTTCTCCTATCCAAGGCCTGATCTTAAATCCACTGAAGCAAAGAGCTCTGTTCTTTAATGGCTTTCTTTTGAAATGCCAGTTCATGCTTTTCAATGGTCTGCATTTCTGAAAAAACAGCTCTATTTTCCATCATGCCATAGTCGTACTCTCACTTTTTCTTTAAAAAAAAAAGTGTATAGCAATCCAGCAAGTGTCATGCAATGCCTACAAAAATATTTTTCGATTTTTTCCCCTGAAATACTCTGTTTTAAGAATTTAAAATCTTCACAGGCATTTAACAACTGCGCTGAGAAGATTCAGGATAGCCACACACACAAAAAAATGAACATAAGCATATTAACCCGATGGTAATATATTACAAACACATGCTGTAAAGTCCTCTGTCTGCTCATGTGCAACTTTTGAGGAACATACATGCAGAAAATGTATAGTTGTTAAATAAACTGTCTTTTCTAACTATGTCTATTACAAAATCAGTGTTGATAAACATCAATGCACGAATGTAAGTTTGAACAATATGGTTGTAGTGAGATGAATTTATCGTTTTTAAATGCAGGGTATAAATCTTAAAAAGCTGTATATAAAAACACAGCATCACAAATGTACAAAACATCATCCTCATATAACTTTTATGATCCTTGGTTGACAAATATTGAGGAAGCAATGGTGGCTGCCTTACACCTGTGTCTTTAATTAGTGAAAAAAATTTCACTTTACTAAGTGTTTTAGGACATGACATTCTGGATAATTAATCCATTGATAATCTCACTATATTTTGGTGGGGTAGGGGTGTCAAAAACACCCTCACCATTCCTGTAGTTCTCCTCTGAATTTACAGGATATTCCTGTACAACAAATGAAGAAATCTGTGCTCTTAATCACAGCATTGCTTTAACAAAACATCACAATGATAGATGGTGCAAATCCATCTCTCTGTCTCAGCCTCAAAAAACGTGAAGGGTTACACAGTTAAACAAGTAGCACAGCAAAAGCTGTGACTGACAGCAGATTGCATTTGAATGACTATTTCTGAACAAATGTTTTCAGTAAGTGTCCTGGTCACTATAAAATTCATTATAGGCCTCCTGACACCCCTCACTGAAGGTAGAGGAAATCAAGTCATCCTCTGTTTGTGCCAATAAGATTGCTCAAAGTAGTAGCTTGCATGCAGTGCACATGCTTCTGTGTGATTGCTGGTGCAGCACTGTAGCAGTCTCGCGTCTGCACTGCAACCTTCACTCCATGTTCTTTGCTTTTGCTGAGAGGTGAGTTAAGGAAAACAGACAGGTACAGAGCTAGCTTCCTACTGAGAGGGGCATAATACTACTCTAAACCAGCCACAATTCAAGAGCATCAGGAAAGATCTTCTGATCTTGAAGACCTTCTGCGGCATGAGTCCTTCTCATGTATAAGAGTTCCTACTGCTTCAGCCCAGGCTCCTACTGGAGTCTGCCTCTAAAATGTTTATCTGATGAAAAGACTTCATTGCTCCCTGAACTACCATCTTGCAGTGAGGTTCTCTTGGTATAGGACAGGTTTAACTTTCACATCTCCAGAGACAGTATGTTCAGCATCAGTTTTCTCTGTCATTCCCTTAACATTGGCTAAACTTGTATAAAAAATTAACAAAAAAAAAGCCAGAGTGACAGAAAATGAAACGACTACATTTAAACACAGATTTTCAAAACTCATTTCATGAATAGAGATTTATAATACCTTTGTCTCAAGTCTTCCATATGAAAGCATGATGTTGAGAGGAACAATGAACTCCGGTTATGCTCAGGGTACTCATGCAAGATGCATTCAGTAGATTGCAGCCTGTAGCTATTTCGTAGGAATCCCTTGACAGCCTCCCTTCCAGTCCACTTAAGTCTTATTGTCAGGGTTAGGAGGCATTGGCAGAACTGCACGTCATGAGCTATTTGCAGCATGTTTACATCTGGTAACTAAATGTGTCCACTGAAGAAGGTCATTGACTAATACCACTATACATTTTCAAAAACAACATACAAAAGGAAGTGGTATAGAAAAGAAGAGCAAAACACAAGTTTTAGAAGTTGCCTTTTTTTTAATCTAGATGAAAACATTCAGGTGTTTTGGACATGGATGTTTCTCCTTTAATACCGGTGAATTTCATTCGCAGGAGTAAACAAGATCCTCCTATTTCACTGATAGAAATTTCAAAACCTCTCAGACTGTTACCTCCAGGAACTACAGAGTTTATAGAAACACTTGTTCCTGTCACATTTATTTCAAGACTTTTGAAGTTGCTCCAGCTCAGGTAGAAATTTAAATCTGCTGTACTACTTCCTGTAGTTCAAGATGAGCTTTAAATTTAGAGTCCTGATTAATATGTGCTGTTTGTTAACGAATACCTCCACATATTGCTACAAAAGATGCAGGAGATACTGCTTAGGATACACCACTATTTACAAATGTTGGGTGAGTTCCTTGTATTAAATAATGCATTCCGTTCAATTCAAGTCTTCCTGTTCATGAGCAGGTTCAAGTGGTTCTATGTTCATAATTCAAAATGATTCGTTGAGTGCAGTCAAAGATAATTCTTTGTCAGTCTATGAGCAGTTGCTGTGGGTATTTAAATTCAAATTGTTTCAGATGAGTTCATATATCACGTGGTATACAGTTATTGGCTAATTGGATTGCCTCTCTCCTATCTATAAGACTGAAACATGCATATTGGATTACAACTGGAATCAGATTTCCCAAAGCAAATGGTTACATTTACAAATACCAAACTTGCCT